TAAGACGATGTAACAAACAATAAAATGGCAAATAAATAAACAATGAATTAGCAAGGCAGTATTAGGTGGACCACAAAATTGTTCTTGACGCATAAATAAGTCTTCAGACATCGGACTGCTGCTGCTTATACTCTGTTTATTCACCACCCGGTTAACTTTGTTGGAAATGACAACGTTATCGGTATTAAGGATACGTCTACCAACAGCACTACTAGGTAGTCTTGCATCTGATGACAATGTTTTAAGCAAATATCCAGGAATTCTTTTTGCAAGTGTCCTGTCTATTCTTCCCAGGTGCATGCTACTGCATATACAAGCAAATCAAAATATGCGACTATAGGTGACATGAGGGTTTCTTATTTCTGCGTTTGTTTCCCTTAGCACGTTGTTTTTGTTGTCAACTTTTACTAATTTCACGGTAGGATACGTTACAGCGATATATGTATTCAGCTGGTGAATATTCCATGGGTTTATCCGGTAGTCTTTGATTGGAGATCTAATAAATGCATTCTTCTTTGGCTTCAACTAATTTGTCGTTTTACGGTAAGGAATATTTATCAATGAAATTAGAGAGTAATTACTTGTCTATCAATATTCTGAGAATGTGTTTCAATTCCTTATCGATTAACTGTTGAGAACATAGTCTCATTACCTGTGAAAACAAAGTTTTGACCAAAGTTCTCATAATATGAAATAATGACCATCCAAGTAGGCTTGTGATAAACTCATCGTGATACCAATCCATTCTTATTTTTCTTAAGACTCAGGTCCAGAAAATGCATTTTATTCAACATCACATATTCACATGTAAAGTGAACATTTAGATGAACCAAATTAAAAAGTTTGATCAGACCTTTTGCCTGATTTTCACTCTCAGATATAATAAACGCATTATCGTCTAATCTTAAGTACGTTTTTATCTGCTTTACTCCGTCACTTATTTGGTATTCTGTAAGTGAACTAGAAATATGTCATCAAATATAGGACCAAGGGGAATACCATTAGACCCTAATTCTGTTTGTCTATAATAATTAATAAATTTGAATCGCACACCTTTTGGGTAAGAAAACAACAAATCTTTCGATTAATTAGGTGTAATACTTACTTCGTTAGCATCACTACATTTTATTTCAATAGCCTCTGTCAATAGTACATTCGGTAATAAGGACTCAACATCAAAAGAAACTAGATCTCTCTTTCTCACATCGATATCCTGAACCTTATTGTCAGACTCGAAACTATTTTTCAGAGTATAAATATCTAGTTTTTCCCTGATAGGTTCCATTGGATGTACAAACCACTTAGCTAGTTCTTGGTGTAGGCGATCTGAGATGGTCAACATAGGCAGCAAAGCTTTCCAAGTTTCTAGTACTTTCGCAAGACCCCAGATTCGTGTTGAATATATTCTTAGTGGCCTTAATGCCTCACAGAGATTCCTGTCAGTATGACTTTGCTGACACGGCTTACTGAGGACTTCTTTTAAGTATTTAGTGTCGTGTTTTTACTATTCTGTTCAGAAGCGGTGTTTCTTGTCACATAATAAGCCAAGTCTCTTCGTGATTTGGCCTCATTTGTTCAACACGACCATCGAGGAAGCATTGTCAGGTCTTTTTGGAATAATCTAGATACTCCGGGCTGATCGATCAATCAACGAATCTGCCTTTCAACTAGCTTTCTTTAACACTCATTTTCGGCTTGAAATCAGAGAATTCTTTAACAGATTTTCAAAATGACTTTCTAAGTTAATTTGGTTTACTTTATTATAAAGAATATGAAATACAAAACCTGAAGACAGTGATTATAACTCAAGGTTCGGTAAGCAAATATCAGAAAAAAACATAACATACATCTCCGGAGTTTTGAGGACATAGTTTTCATAAAAATCTTGAGATTCTCTGTTTTTAAACGTAGACTATCTTTTATATTACAACAAGAATAAAAGATTTCATGTAACAGAGAAAGTTCATGCAAAATCAGTTTCTCAACATGTGCCTGAATGATTTTAGATTACTACAATAGGTATAAGCATGAGCAATCCAACAACTGAACGCTAATTCATTCGTGTAGAAAGATTTTGCAATCCACCTTGCATTGCTTATTTTTAATGAAATTCTACTTTTCCCGTTGACTGACTGGACCGAAATACTCAGCCTATGTTGACATATGTGGATGCCTCAATCATATCTGAAGGTTAACTTGTTGTAATTTGGCGGATAGTGACCAGTAGTGGAATCCAGAATGCACATTTCATCCTATTTAAAACTTGCCAGCTGGATGTTACTTGCCATCCTATTGCTTGTTACATCTTCTTACCATACTAACGCATGCTTCATCTTTCTAAAACTCTCCATCATCCATTGAATCCATTGCAATGGGCTATCCACTGGGGCCCTTCTTGGCTGACTGTTTCATGTCCAGCCTCAGAAAAATTCCTATCATCGACCATCACTGATCTCCATCTTTACAAGAGATACATTGATGATACTTTCATCATCTGCGATGAGAAAATGGGCATTGGAAACTTACTTCAAACCTTCAACAACGCCCACCGAAATATCAGCTTTACTCTTGAGGCTGAATGCAACCGAATGTTCCACTTTCTCGACGTCCATCTTAAAAGAAACGCCGACAACTCTCTGAAAATGTCCTTTTACAAAAAGTCTACATGGAATGGACGATTCATCAACTTTCAAAGCTTCGTGTCCGTAAGCAGAAAGAGGAACTTTATATACGCTCTTTCGACGAGGATTCGGAAGATATGCAGCGAGGAGAGAACTGCATAATCTCAGAGGAACCTTGATGGAAAACGGTTTTCTGCCTAGGTTCATAGACAAGAATCTCAAATCAAAGAAGACTTCTGAACAGGTTCAATCCGTCTCGAACAGGATACTTCTGTTTAATCTAGAATTCAAAGGTGACACTGAAGCAGAAATCCTCTTTAAATCTCTGAGAAAAACACGCTTCGCTGCGAGCCTACGACTGACTTTCTCCTGCAAGAAACTGTTCAACCAGAACGCGAAAGACAAGCTGTCTCATTGAACCACTTCAACATGCATTTACCAGTTTACTTGCCCGTGCGGAGCTGAGTACAGCAGCCGTACCACGCGCCAACTTGAAAAACGTGCTGATGAACACTATCCAGTCTGGCTAGTAAAAGGAGAACAAAGACGTGTATATAGCTCAGTGACAGAACATCTGGTCAATTCACGACATTCAGCGCCATTCGAAAAACCATTCAAAGTGATATACACGATTCGATCAAACCTATCAAAGGGAGTAGAATCAAGACATCTAGGCATAGCTAGAGCACTAGCTATCCAAAAGCTCAAACCCACGCTATGTATCCAAAAGAAATACGTCCAACCCTTGTTCCTGCCATGGACATCATAAACAGGTAATTCTTTTAATAGTGACTATCCCATTGCCTTTCTTATCCAAACTTTCCGTGTATACATACCATTTTTAAGTTTTCCTTGATTCCTATTTATTCTACCATATTTTCATTTCCTATTTTTGTCATCTATTTTGTCACTTTATTATTCCTACATATTACATTCTTAATTGTATAAACAATTATTCGTCACAATTTTTTTATCCAAACATCCTGCCTATTTTGTTGTTTCTACATTTCTAACCCCTAATTTCACAATATGTAAATCTTTCCGATAATTATGGTGCTGCTTTGTTTAAGTTATATCCGTTCCCCTGTTTATTATGGTATTTTAACTCATTATTGTAATTTTATTAACTTGACCCTTGACCGGAAATTATTCTGGAAATTTCCCACCCATTTATTATAAATACACGAATGTACAGCCTAGTTGATGATTTCGTTGAAAAGAAAATTTTCTTCGCTGCAACTGTCTTTTTATTATTCCCTATGATCAAATGTGTACACCGCATATTTATTATGTAGTAATCTTGCTTCTCAATTTATCCCTCACTGTGTTATCATTATTTCATCCCCTATCACAGAATATCTGTCTTATGTTAACTGTCGTCTTCACCACCTTGCCTTGTAGTCACCTATTTATCAGTATTATTTTGAATTATTTTATTTTGTCTACATCGAATTCACAGTATGATTTTGTTATTCTAAGAATTGTTTTTGTCTTTGTCTGTAATAACCTATACAATTTTTATTTCCATACTTATTGTTGTGTATATTCAAAAACAATTATTTTGTATTGATCGAATTTCTGGATTATATTCAGTGATCTGGATTTAAAAAATGACACCTGAAATTATTAAGTTCCACAAAAATTTTCATTTTAATCAGTTTATTCAGGATTTAGAGCATACAAAATCAAACTGAATCCAATGTACCCCAAAATGTCTAGTGTTCTTGCTTTATGAAATTATCATGGGAACTTTTTGAATGAAATATTACTCTTGGATCCTAGAGATTACAAAACAACCAGACATTAGATATGCATTTGGTAGTGGATAAGAGTAAAACTGAGCATTTTCGTTTTTGTTTCTGTTAAGAGCTCTTGAATGCACATGAAATAGAAGTGTCGATACAAGGAGCCTACTTGACAAAGTAGATCCATGATTTGAGACCCCTAAATCGATGTCAGAAGGATCGAATACATATGATAAGAATCTGAATAGTTGGCGGTTATTTTAACCTATTTTGGAACTCATAGGCAGTACGCATACACCGAGTTTCGAACCATTATCAATCTTCAAACAAATCAAATCCCTACAAACAAATTGCTGAAGATCACTTTAACCTAAAATTTTATTTGCTAATTGGCTTGAATACTTGGAACACTGACACTTAGATAATCAGTTTCTTTATATTCATACTTCCAAGCTAATTGTTAATTTATTAACTATCATTAGAAGTTTCATTTAATCGATATTTGATAATTGGAGGGGGTTGTGTCTCGAAAAAAAGCTTACTTATTGTCTTCTTCAGGTCGGTTAAATCCACTTCTGTTCATTTATGATCTCTTAGACTCATTCAAACTTAAACGGAAGAATTAACTTTATAAATGTTCACTCATATTCCGTCACGAAAGAATACATTAGGTGTGTATTATACTGCATTGGGGTTTACTGTTTAATACTTATTCGTTCAAAACAATGAATCTTCTACTAACACTGTGTACAATGGTCTAAGTTTCAAGGTGAATGAAAAGTAACATACTAAGCTTCACTGATAGCTGTCACCAACTGCTTTGAAGAAATATAATAACATAGCAGTTATTAGTGCATACAACAGCAGTATATATCAGTGTTAGCAGGGATTGTCCTTTTTAAAACTGCTCTACTAGATTTATTAAATTGAAACTCTAAGCATCATCATCGAACAAAGCATAGAATAGCAGTTAAACCTGTACCTCAGCTTCATCGACTTCGAAGAGGCCTTCGACAGTACGGATTGAGAAGTAATTTGCAAACGACTTCAACACTACGGCGTGCCCAAAATCTTTGTCAACCTCATTCAACAGCTATATGACAGTGCCACGTTTCAAGTGATCCACAACGGAAAACTCAGAAAGGCCTGTCCCTAAAGTGAATCCAGGAGTAAGACAAGGCTGCCTATTATCACCGATGATATTCTTTATTGTGATGGACTGGATTATGCATCAGACTTTTGGGGGTGAGGAGTGAGGAACACGCTGGATGACCAATAAGAAGACTTTAGAAGATGTGGATTTAGCAGATGATATGCGTCTAGTGTCACACAAAGCCGAAGACTTGCAAGCCAAAACCAACAACCTGGCTGAAGAGGCAGGCAGCGAAAACAGGACTGCAGGTGAACAAAGAGAAGGCGGAGGTGATGAAGATAACCAACCGACAGCAACAACAACCAGCATCAATCACCATCAACGGGAGAGATTTAACAGAGTTTGCCTCCTTCACTTATCTAGGAAGCATCGTTTCAACTGCAGGCCGAACGGACGAAGATGTCAAAGTCAGAATCGCAAGGCAAGATACGCCTTCATCAACCTGAAACCAGTTTGGAAATCCGCCTCTGCATAAGGGACAAAATTCGGATTTTCAACACAAATATGAAGTTGGTTCTTTTCTAAGGGTCAAAAACTGCGTGTCACGATAAGGATTTCCAGTAGGTTGCATACTCTCATCAACAACTGCCTTCGCTCCATACTGAAGATCAAATGGCTGGCCAGAAACAATGAGCAACAAGAATTTATTGGAATAAACCAACCAAGAGACGATCGCTCAACAAATATGTAGGAGAAAGTGGAGATGGATCGGGCATACACTGAGGAGGCTGCCGAATGACATCGCACGCCAGGCCATTACTCTCGTGGGGTCCAAATGGGAGGCGACGAGTGGGTTGTCGGTGCGAGCGTGACACGGAGGAGATCATGCCAGGAAGAGATGAGAGAGTTTCGTTAAACCTGGACCCAAGTGAAGAGAACGGCAGAGAACAGAACTAAGTGGAGATGTGTAGTCGAAGCCCTATTTTCCACTTGAAACAGAAGGGAATAATAGCAAATATACTAAATCGATTTACAACTTAGGTAAGAAGTATTCAAAGATCTGTTAACGAAGTCAAATTGAAGCATTCTTAAATTACTATTTGCTTTGAAATTCCGATTATTTTCATAATTAATATTGAATAATAAAATATAACCTTCACTTATGCTTCTGGAGGTATTAAAAGAGAGTGATAAGACTAGTTAATTTTAATGAGTGGTCTATAATGTAAAAGTGATAAGCTGTAAATTCCATTGTTTCAACAATTCACTTAAGTTGATATTGATTCTATTGTTCTTGAGGATTATCACATATTTAAACAAAACTATCATAGATGTACTAATCGTAGAAAACTGGGAAGGATATGCGTTATATACAGCTTACTGATCAAAATTGAGACAGGTTATATTCTCTTCGAGTAAAGAATAACTAGAATAATTTAACTTTCAACCTATCACTATTTGTCAGTACTATAGTTTTATTCAAATTGAAAGGATAAGTTACATGTCAGAAATAAGTCTATCAATGTAATTATTTCCACAGGTTACTTATTTTATATTATTGTTTAAAATATGAATTACCATAAGACTCAGTTAACATGAGATACCTATCATGTGTGTAATTTGAGCTAAATACTTTCTATGCACAAAGGAAAGTTTACTAGTTCACATGAAATAATTTATGAAACTTTGACTTTCTACTCTAAATGCTATTATTTTCTTTTTTTGGTACTTAAGTTTGAACAAAAAATAAACTACATACTTAGGTAGAATTCATGTAATTAATTGAAAATCCCTCAAACTTTTGTTGTTGTTTTTTTGTTGTAGTAGTGAAAATCGATCTGCCAAGGTTGTTTAGTTAGTATTGACCAATAGCTGTAAAGTAATTAAAATAACAGTACAAAATTGGTTGAATGACTCAAAGAAGTATGTCTTCTGATTGTTTATTACTTAGATATAATTGATAAAAAAATGATAACTAACAAAAAAGGTTTTCATTTAAGCTTGATCAGGTGATAAAATTGAAACAGATTTAGATAATAATAATAATAAAAGTAATAATAAGCCTTGGTGAATACTATTTCATATTGACAAGCTTCTGGAGTGGATCAGGATAACCAACCATTTTCTCAATACTTTCTCTCTCTCTCTGTGTGGATAATTGAAGGAGAAATACCAGTTCCAAATCATCTAGCGGTGAGTAAACTTAACAGTTTTATCAAGTGCAATACAATGAAAAATAGCTTTTAATACTTTATTGGTACATAGTTAACTAGAACGCTTTGAAGTGCTTATATCTTAACTAAACTAATGCAAAAGGAGTTAGTCAGCTTTGGAACATTTGATATTAATTATGATGCCTTCACCGTAACACATGAAGAAAAACTATCAATATCTGTTTTATGCACTGGAGGCATTAGGATGCAGGCTAGTTGGGTGTGATATTTAAACCACCAACTAAAAAAATTCAAAGTTATAACTTATAAGAACAAACAAAACCCATTCCCAATCGAACATTAATAGAGAGAAGACCATTAGTTCAGCGTAGAGTCTCTTTTCGGCGAATTCACTTTCTTAGCTATACAACCGCAAATATATATATGGGTTATATTGTATATATGTGTACATTAAATTTTTCAAACAAACAAAATCCATGTTGGTTACAACATCTCCGTGTCAAATTTAATTTAGTAAAACAGTGTATTTGTGTTTTACCACTTCTAGGTCGTATCATTTGTAGCAAGTTTGACTTTCTAAAATATTCATGATGAACTGCATTTTGCATCGGATTCCAGAGAATCTGCATTTTATATTTTAAAATTTGATGGCTATTCCAAAAGCGTAGGGCCCGAATAAATCATTGATAACGTCTCTGACCATAGTACTACATGAGAAGAGTTCATCTCTTTTAGGTGATAGCGATACCTTTGAGGTTCCAAACACTGCTCGTTGACGACTGCTATAGAGCACGAAACGCAGATTGTCGGCCACCTACCGATCGCTTCTAGTCATCTAATAAATTTGTCTATCATCCATTTTGTAATACGGTTCATCTTGGTATTATAAATGCGTAGATAAATTATTAGAAGTAAGATAGAATCTTATCAACTGTCTTTACTTTACTGAAGATGGATATGACTACGTGAATTACAATCAGCTGACGGCATATGACCTGTTGCCAATCCGTTGGAATACACAGGATCGTCAATCAACTACAATTTAGACACTATTCCAATATAGAGAATATTCAAGAGTTAAATGACAACTTATTATATTACGTTCATACCTGCAGTCTATGATTTGTAATAATTGGTTTGCATGAATGAACCAACTGCGGGTATCTGCAATATCTATAACCTTAGATAACAGTGACAAAGGCAAATGTAAAGGCTTTATATCAATAAGAAACACTATCTTAACACATGAGATGGTAACTTATTTTGACAAAATCATTTTAACTAGGGTAGTTTCAACCAATAAAATTAATCTCTATGTTACAGAATGGTTAGTAAAGCTAGAAGATGGCTCGCAGAGCTTTTCTATAATTTAACCGACAGAAAACTAGCTACCTAGTGACCAACAGCCATCTCGTAACCCTTTCTTAGCATTACGCATCACTTCGTATATACAAATACAAGTTTTCACTAATAAATAATATTGTCTAACTGTCATAAGACTTTGAAAGAGGCTACCTGTGATAGATTTATCTTAATCCAGTGACATTTTGACAGTAGCTTAAAAGAAGAAGCATATTTTGGAATTTGCTCCTTGGAGGTTTCTGAAGTAATGCCTTAATTAGCTTTGAGATTACTTATAACCAACATAGAATGATCTGATAGTAGAAACACAGAATCTTATTTTGTAACGCTTCACCTTCTGGTAAATGAAGTTGTTAATTTGAATCAAAAATCTAATTTTGGTTTACAACAGTATTTGTAATCGCTCAGAAAATTTTGAAGTTTTATTCTCTAACATTTAGGCTGTTGCATATCAGTCAATCAGTGATGAATATTTTAAAACAGAAGGCATTGAACATGAAACACTAGTTCATTTGAACCTCGTACGTGTCACAACTTTTAAAGAAGCTTCTCTTGAGACTATGATCTGTAAGGGTCAGAACTAACTCCATAGGTCTGTAGTTTTTAGTCTAGTCATAGACTTTACGAAGTTGATGCGAAGTAATATAGTCTCAGTTGGAACAAGAGTTTATCCAAATTAGTAGATACTTCTTATTAGTGAATGATAGAAATCACCAGGTCTAGATAAAGCGGAGAACCCAGTCATCAACAGAAGCTTAATAACCTGCTTCTATAAAATGTGCGTCGATGGTTCAATAGTAGAATGCGTATCAGCTACGCACGTGATCCAGGCTCGATTCTCAGCCGACACACTCCTAAATCTTGCTTAGTCAGTACTATGACTGCAGACAGGAAAGGTCGACAGTGAGGTTGTCAACCCTACTCCATAATGGAAAACAAAACTGCCACTGAAACTTTAAACCTGAAGTCTTCTATTCCACTAAGGTCGTCAAGGAATTAGAAGAAACGTTATTGACCGCGTGCGGTTTTTTTAAAGCAGTATGCCATACTCAACTGATTATGCTCAAATGGTTAGTGATGAGGCTTACACCAGAATTCAAGTAGAAACCTTTCGATTACTCCACTACTAATCCATTCTCAAATATAAGTGACCATTGACGAAATAACATTTATTTTAAGAATAAATTATTATTAATGTCGCTATTATTATTATAGAGAATAAAAATAATTAGCGAAGGCTATATAAGTTATTTTGATATATAATTTTTTACAAATAGATATCAGCAGATTCTTCACATGTATTATTTTGTGAGCTGATAGAATTCATGGTATCTTATTTAAATACATATAAGTCTATAATACATGTAGAAATTAAAAAATATTCTTTTATTATTTCTAAACACAGATTAAATGCTTCTTCTTCTTCCAAACTACTTAAATGACAACTGAAACACGGGAGTTTTAAAAGACAACCATTATCGTCATCGTCATCACCAATATAATTAAAACAAATCAACGAAATATGCACACTGCACATTCACTTGTTACAGTGAGTTATTCATTTGTTATTAACTGAACTAAATACGTTTACTGTTTCGTTATTTTAAACTAGTGTGTAATAAGTGGAATTAAAACAAAAATATGGATTGTTGAAGGATTTAGGCGGATAGACGTCAGATTAAATTCATTCCTTGTTGAAGTCACAGCTGCTTACTGATGAAGAGTTTCAAAGTGGGATGAAACAGCTGTTTAGTTTAGTCTGTGGTTTCCAGTGATTCTTTCAATGATGTCAACTTGGGACACAACTCAAAATTAATTTTAAAATGCGCGAAAATATGGAGTATTAGCTCATTTTATCAAATTAGTCCTGCTTTCACTTAATGTAGATGTTTAGTTCAACATGAGTTTTTGTTCTAGACTAAATATATCTGACTGAATTTCAATCATTCTGTTCATTTCTTTGAACATTGATCTTTTATGAATTGTTTGAAACGAGCGTGTAGGAAATGGTTACTTGGAGCATGATGCCGAACCTAATTTAATGCTGGAAAGTTTCAGTTTTACTATGTTGATATAATCTTCAATGAGCATATCTCAAGTTTTTGCCTGAGTTATCGTTGTTATCTTTGTGCTCCCTAGAGAGAGTGAAGGTGTGATAATTACGCTTAGCTTAAATGGTAGACGGTTGTACAAGCAATTTGGAGGCCGCTGATTTAAACTCTTACCACAATATATTTTCATTTCACCTATGACCATATATCCTAATGTTAAAATACTAATAACTGGCTTGAAAATCCTGATAAAGTTGATTAAAAAGTGACTCTACTATGCGATATCCTTCTCATGCTGCATAATTTGACACATAATACATTTCTACAGCAAAGAAAGGAATGTTTCCAAGCACGTGTCAGTGAAATCATACATTTTAAATAACAATCAAGAGATTTCACATTACGTATATTTCGAATATTATCACGTAAAAACACTGAAATACCCTAAAATGTAGAATCGCTCGATTGTCACGCGTAACATAAAATTCCAATGAAACATGCCTGGAGACATTCGTTTTGCTGTAATGACAATGTATATATTATAATTTATTTCATTCCTTTATGTTCTCAGTGAACCACTAGGATTCAAGCATCACCTACAAAGCGTCAGTAGCAGTACAGTATTTGAAGGCATACACATGCTGCGCTCACGCGAAGTCCTCCATCGTTTTAGTGCTTAATGCTGGCCAAGCGAGGCAAAACAGCTTGAGGCAGAATGGTAAAAAACCGCAAAACTACAACGGTTCATCTGCTTCCCAAAAATTAACCCCTACGAACTTAAAAAAATCACACATAAGTACCTATGGTTTGGGAGTAGAACTGCTGAGAAGAGTAACTCTATAGTGAACAACCCTTTCTTAATATGATATCCGAATAAACTAGAAATAACATCCTATCTTCAAATATTATTAGTGACTGAATAAAATATATCGTCCCCTATGCTAATTTATATTCAAACGCATCGCTAAAGGTTGAAAACTACCCATAAACTTCAGGTAAAATGAATCAATATATTTGGTAACATTTTCCACCCAATTCACATGCAGTACACAAGGTTGATTTATCAATGTCTCCTACATTTACAGGCACAAAAATGATTGAAAACTCATCAGAATTTTTACGATCATATGTAAGATGTGAATATTATCTACTTGTGATGAATTCATCTCCTAAAATGCATCAGCAAACAAATAAGTAATGCGAGTGGACGATAAAATATATGATGATTATATCACTCCTAAAGTAAGGTCAATGGGAATTTCAGTGATATAATTATAACCATTGTAGTTAAATATTCACATGAATTGTTGTTGTTGCTGTTATTGCTGATGTATCACTCATGGAAATGAATACAACTGCTACTAATGCAGCAAAAATATCTACATTTATCAGTTCCTAAAATATTCACATATCTATTGCAATCATAACTGATATTTTTAACAATACCAATCGACAGAAATACGACTTTGAGTTGTCAAAATTTTCTGCGAATATCCTGTCAGTCAGTTCAATAAAGATGAGAACATACATGAGGTCAATCTGTGAAGACATGCGAAATGCAAAACGCTATCCTTACATCATTGAGTAAAACTTGATTCCACTCTTCATGCAATTCTTCTTAAAAAGGTCAATTAGGAATACCATTATGAGTGGAGAAAAAGGTCACTCAACTAGTTTTTCATCATCATCATCATCACTGAAATGAGAATAAGTCTTCGTTTGACTATTTATAAATAAATACATAAAACTAAAACTAAAGCTGACATGATTTCTATGTATGCATTAAAGATTAGGCATTTGAATCTCATTATTTCAATTTCCATCAATACACACATAGACGCGCATATTACACGTGTGTCATACAACACAGACTCTATTTCTGTGCATCTAATTTTAGTAATTTTACACATTGAGAAATAATTCACATAATAATAATAGTAATGAAATCACAAAACTTTCACTTGTTACAGATCTTAACTAAAACTTTTATAAATTACAGTTGATTGTGTAGACTGAAGAGATTTTGTATGTACACCTCCTGATACTTTCCTGTTACTATTATTGTATCCTTTAATTCCTTGAGGAATATAGGGCTCCCGTCGTGCGTCTCCATTGCGTTAGGTTCTCTGCTAGAGTCTTCACCTGGCTCCATGTCTGCCCACACGTTTTCATCTCCTCTTCACATGACCTCCTCCAAGTCACCCTTGGACGACCAACTCGCCTCTTCCTTTTCGGGTTCCACTCAAGGGCTTGTCTAGTGATGTTAGCAGTACATAATTCTCTACGATAAGGATGAATGTCAATGGATGACAGTAGTACTTGTCTATCGAGAACAAACAGGATAGCTTGAAAGAAAATGCATGTCAAGACACAATTGGAGTTATTGGCTAACAGGAAGTTGACTGTCAACTGTACATCCGAATTCGTCTCATTCATCTAACGATGTATTCACCGTTTGAATTTCAATTATTCATACTAACTGAAATTGAGGTTTTGTCCACGACAAATTCATACAATGTGGTGAACATAATCAAGCGTAATCACTGAAGACATACTTTTACTTATTATTCAGCTTTGTTTTCATTGCACAGTTTCTAACATGATTCCCACAAAACATTCTTCACATGGAAGGAAGAACTAATACTGATATACTTTTCAGATACTTGTTTTGTGACAAGGTTAATAAAAGATAAGACGGTCAGTGAAGTGTTACTCTTTCCAGCGATATCATTCTCAAGCTGTACAATCACATAAATGCAGTAAATTACTATATTCTAGAGAAAATGTACCTTTTTTAAAGTCTCACAGTAATATTTACTGATGACGCGTCGAGCACAATTTACTGCTCATAATCACATCAAGTTATACACACAGATTTCTCGCTTATCAAAAAACTCACATAACGTTTTCAAACAGTAGCGAAATCACAAGCCGTCGAATATTTAACAGTCAATGTTTAAAAGTTATATCATTCCTAAACACTTATGCCTACACACCACAATGACGTCAAAAAAAAATAAAATAAAATCAGATGCGCAACAGTTCAGCAGAGTATGTTGTAGTGAGGAGCTACACAGAGTTATTGTGAAGCTAAACAATATACGAAATGAAATTGCAAAACTTAAACATGAACTCAAGTGTATGATTGATGACAAAAATTATCCAATTATGACTGAAACATCCAAAAGAGCTTAAGAAACAATCCCAACGTAATCAGAAAACACGCAAATTAAGAAATTCAACATATTATCATAAGATAGTAAGAACACATTATGTGAGGACGTTGAAGACGTGGAAGAAAACTCAATTTCAGTTGGTATGAATAATTGAAATTCAAACTGTGAATACATCGTTAGATGCATGAGACGAATTCGTGTGTACAGTTGACAGTCAACTTCCTGTCAGCCAATAACTCCAATTGTGTCTTGACATGCATTTTCTTTCAAGCTATCCTGTTTGTTCTCGATAGACAAGTACTACTGTCATCCATTGACATTCATCCTTATCGCAGAGAATTGTGTACTGCTAACAGAAAAGTGTCAGCAGTTGTACATACAAAATCTCTTCAGTCTACACAATGAAATTTAATTTATAATTTTTAGTTAAGATCTGTAACAAGTGAAAGTTTTGTGATTTCATTACTATTATTATTATGTGGATTATTTCTCAATGTGTAAAATTACTAAAATTAGATGCACAGAAATAGAGTCTGTGTTGTATGACACACGTGTAATATGCGCGTCTATGTGTGTATTGATGGAAATTGAAATAATGAGATTCAAATGCCTAATCTTTAATGCATACATAGAAATCATGTCATTTTTAAGTTTGGTTTTATGTAATTATTTATAAATAGTCAATAAAAGACGTATTCTCATTCCAGTGATGATGATGATGATATTCATAATTGACCTTTTCAAGAAGAGTTGCATAGAGAGTGGAATCAAGTTTTACGCAATGATGTAAGAGTAGGGCTATGCATTTCGCATGTCTTCACAGATTGACTTGATATATGTTCTCGGAGAGGCTTTCATTGATTATCTGCATTGTAGTAATTTAGAAACAGCCTCAAAACACACACATACACGCATGTATATTTCATTACGAGTGACTAATTCGTCTTTATTGAACTGATTGACAGGATATTTGCAGAACATTTCAACAACTCAAAGTTATATTTTTGTCGATTTGCATTGGTGGAAATATCAGTTATGATGGTAGTAAATGTGTGAATATTTTAGGAACTGATAATTGTGGATATTTTTGCTACATGAATCACAGTTGTATTCATTCAGCATTTGTATTCATTTCCATTAATGAAACAACAGCAATAACAGCAACAACAACAATGCATGTGAATATTTGACTACATTGATTATTATTTTACTGAAATTCTTATTGACCTTACTCTAAGAATGATGTGATCATCGTATATTTTATCGTCCACTCGCAATTCTTATTTGTAGTTTGATGTAGTTTAGAAGATAAATTGATTAGA